AGAGATTCTGTTGTCATGTAAGTTGTTGTTTTTGGTGGTGTCACAGTGCGAGCTAACATCTGTCTGTGTTTCATTTCATTAGGCGGAAGCTGCTGGCAACAGAAGGTACGAAAAGATCTTTACCAAACATTCCACAATTGAACCCACAAACCAAACGCAAGGTGCAGTTTCACTTTATAATGTGATCGTGTCTTATTTCAGGGTCAATGACGAGGGGTTTCATCTTTCGCTGTGTGTGTATGAGCTGCCTGTAGGGATATACAAAGGGTCTATACAGTACACAGCCTGGAGACAGATGATACACGGCATCAGCCCAGGTAAATATCTCCCATTCTCATCCTGAAACCGTGTCAACAGACTTGCATTCAGCTGGATCCCAACGCATACCCTCTACACACTCCCTCACACATACACATACCGACTGCTGAGCTGCCTGTTGCCAAGTACAAATGGTCTTTGAAGAACACATTCTGGAGACAGATTATAGACAACATCATCCCAGGTACATGTCTCCCATTCTCACACTGAAGCCCTGTCAACAGCGATACACTCACCTGGATCCCAACACACACACCTACTTCCCTCAATGCAAACATGAACAAACACACCCTCACACACACCTCATAATAATAATAATAATAATAATAATCCTTGCATTTGATATAGCGCTTTTCACGTCGGGAGGACGTCCCAAAGCGCTTCACAGAACACACTGTAAAGTGAATTGACTGTATATTTGTGGGCGAACGCGGCAGCCAATTGCGCACAGCCATGTCCCACAAACAGTCTTAGATTGAAAATGACCAATTTATTATTGTTTTCGGTTTTGGAGGATTATTATTAGGCTCTGTGTGGAGTAAGGAAACTTGCCCAAGGTTTCGCCCTGCCTGGAAATGAACTCAGGTCTCTCACTTGCAAAGCGAGTGCTCTAACCACTGAGCTGCAGGACTCCACAGGACTCATGCAAACAAACCTCACACATCCTCACACACATACCCATGACAAACAGTACTCACACGCAACTCTCTCAAACACCAGTCTCTCATGCACAAACTCTCACAAACAAACTCCTCAGACACATGCCACATATCCACTCAGACATACATGCTCAAACACACAACCTTCACAAACGCACATCCTCACAAATACCAACACAACACACAACTGATGGACACACACACCTCACACACATACGCAAACCCTCTCACACACACCATTGACAAACACACAATCACACACACCCTCACACAGACAACAGTCACGCACATAACGTCAAAAAAAAATCCTCAGACACACATACCTCACACACACACATGCACACCGTCACACATCTTCACATACACACTTACACACAGACAAACACCTTCATACACACATTCATCCACAGTCGTCACACACACTCTCAAACCCAATCCTCACACACAATTACAACCACATTCCTCACTCGCATTCTAATCCACAGTCCTCATACACTCCCACCAATACTCCACACACACCATAACTCACACATAAACACACACTCACTCCCTCACATACAGCCTCACACGCACCCTGACACCCACAAACATACCCTCACACATAGCCGCAAGTACATTCCTCATGCACACTTCTCAAACACACAAATAAACATGCCCTCACACACCCACAGTTAAAAGACACAAAACCCTCACATACACTTTCTTATACACACACACAAACACTCCATCGCACACACCCTCGCATAGACTGTATCCCTCTGAGCTGGATTGTGTCTCCAGGTGTAGATATGTTCACACACATTCTGCGCTCCCAGACGTCGCCTCACTCCAATTTGTGTTGTGTCTCTCTCTCAGCTCCGACCTCTCTGACTCTGGATTCTGAAACAGCCCATCCCAACCTCATCCTCTCTGAGGACCTGACCAGCGTGAGACTCGGAGACATATGGCAGCAGCTCTCGGACTCCCCGAAGAGGTTTTGTAATGATGTCTGTGTCCTGGGGTCTGAGGGCTTCACATCAGGGAAACATTACTGGGAGGTGCAGGTGGCCAACAAGACAGACTGGGACGTGGGATTGGCCAAAGAATCCATCGACAGGAAAGACAGCATTCCACTGTCAACACGAAATGGATACTGGGTTGTGTATCTGAGAAAAGGATATGAATATAAAGCATGTACATCACCTCCCACCCGTCTGCCCCTGAGGGAGAGACCCGGGAAGGTGGGAGTTTACCTGGATTATGAGGGGGGACAGGTGACATTTTACAACGCTGATAACATCACCCAGACTTTCACTGAGAAACTTTATCCTTTCTTCAGTCCCTGTAAGAACGACGGCGGCAAAAACTGTGAACCTCTGAGGATCTGCCGGGTGACAGATTAATGAGGAGGGAACCCTCAGCTATGACCTGTGTTTGGCTGTGTGACCACGAGGCTGAATCTTTTATAATCTGTGTCGTTATACAATAAAGCTTGTAGTTTATATTACACCTTTCACACTGGGCCCACGGCTCAAAACTTTCTCGGGATCCACTCTCTCTCTCTCTCTCTCTCACTCTCTCTCTCTCTGTCTGAATTTCAATCTCTCTCTTTCTCTCACGCTCTCATTCACTCTCTTTCTCGTACTCTTTCTCACGCTCTTACAGACTCTCTCACTCTTTCTCTCACTTTCACTCTCCCCTCTCACACTCACTCACACATTCTCTCTCACACTCTTTCTCACAATCTCTCTCTCTCACTTTCATTCTCACACTCTCTTTTACAGTCTCTCTCTCTCACACAACCACACACACTCTCACACTTTCTCTCGCACTCTATCTCTTTCTCACACACTGCTTCTCTCTCAAATTCTCTCACACACTATCCCTCTCTCTCTCACTCTCCCTTTTTCACACACTCTCTTTCTCCCCCATTCCCTCTCTCTAACACACTCTCCCACGCTCACTCACCCTCGCTCTTTCACTCTCCTTCTCTCTCTCTCTCTCTCTCTCTCTCAGTCACACTCTCTCACAACTTTCTCAGTCTAACATATTCTCTCTCTCTCAAACACACACGCACTCTCTTCTACTCACCCTCTGACACACACTCTCTCTCACACACAATCTCTCAAACGCTACCTCGCACTCTGTCCCTCTCTCTCACACTCTCACGATCTCTCTCCCTCTCCCTCTCTCACACACACTCTCTCTCTCACTCACATTCTCTCCCTCCCTCTCCCTCTCTCACAAACTGCAGTGGACGGCAGATGATTACCAGAGTTTAACTCCAAGTGAGCCAAATGGCAGACAAACTGGTTTAAACCAGGCGGAGTAGTACCCTGATTGGCCTCCTCTTTCTGCACTTTTAGATAAGATTTTTTTTCCGATTAAGCACTAGAATAGTGAGAAACAGCCCCAAATAAGGAAGACGGGGAAACGAAAGAGATATATAAGCTTGGGAAAAGGGTTGGTTTTTAGAGATCTCTCCACGGCAGACTGCGGAAGGACTGGTAGTACTCCTCTGTTATTTTACGTTGCATTAATTATGTATAACCAACATTATCAGAATGCTTAATAAACTGTAAAAAATCCAACATTTCGGTTTTTCAAGATCGAACGTATTTTCTGGGGGCGGACTCGGTGGCAAACGAGTCCGGTACCCTAACACACTCATTCACACGCACTCACACACACTCACATTCTCACATACACACTCACACACCCACTCCTTCACATACACACACACACACTCACTCACATACACACACACACACACTGACACTTACACAAATACACACAGTCACGCAAACACTCTCACACAGTCACTCAAATACACACACGCAGTCACACAAAGACACTCACACACTGATTCACACACACACACGCACAGTCACACACCCGCAAACAACCTCACAAACAGTCATACACACCCACACGCTCAAACACACATACACAGTCAAACACAGTTACGGGGGGTGGGGAGGGAGGGGAGGGGGTGGCGGTCGGGGAGTGGTGGGTGCGTGGGGGTGGGTGTGGTAGTGGGGGAAGGTGTGGGGGCGGGAGGTTTGAGACAAAGCTCAAAGAGACAGAATGAAGGTTCTGATTGACAGACTCTGAAACATCAACTGATCACAATGAGGTTCACGGGTCCAGTGACTGAGCCCCCAACCCCCTCCCCAATAACCCTCAACCCACCTCACCCTCCACCGCCCTCACCCTCACTCCCCCCCCCAACACGCCCTCACCCACCCACACCTTCCCACCCCCTCACCCCGGCTCTCACCATCACACTCACACCCCCGAACCACCCGTCACCCACCCTCACCCTCATCACCCCCGAACCCTTCACCTTAACGTGTGTTTCAGCAGAAAGTGTTGCGACTGTGTGTTTTAGTGCAAAGTGTAGTGACTGTGTGGTTGACTGCAAAGTGCAGTGACTGTGTGTTTCAATGTATAGTGCAGTACCTGTGGGTTTGACTGTAAAGTGCAGTGACTGTGTGTTTGAGTTTCACGTTTAGTGAATGCGTGTTTGATACAATGTGTCGTGATTGTGTGTTTCAGTGTCAAGTGTAGTGACTGTTTGTTTGATTGTAATGCGTAGTGAGAGTGTGTTTGAGTGTAAACCCCCCAACAAACTTCCCCCACCCCGGCGACTTAACAAAGATGGCCGCCTATTCCCCTCACTGGCACAGAGACACAGACTCCTTTATTGTCTCTCTCTCACACTCACTCTGTCTATCTACAATGGAGTGTGTGAGAGGCAGAGAATGGGAGAGAATAATTAAAAGAGAGATAGAAAAATTGTGAAAGCGATAGTGAGAGAGAGAGAGTGTGTGAAAGACAGAGAGAGACTGTGAGAGTGTATGAGAGAATGTTTGACAGAGAGTGAGTGAGAGAGAGAGAGAGAGTTGGTCACAGAATGTGTGAGAGAGAGTGAGAGAGTGTGAGACAGAGTGTGAGAGAGTCAGAGAAATAGTGTGAGAGAGAGCGTGTGTTTGAGAGAGAGAGAGAGAGAATGAGAGAGAGTGTGAGCGAGTGAGAGTGAGCGAGAGCCCTTCGAGACCACAGTCGGTGAGTCTCAGATAGAGTCCTAGTGACGTTTAACACATTAATTCTCCTGGACTTAATGAGAATTATTTTACCGTCAGATTTCACACGAACTACATCAACTGTAACTTGCAAAAAAAAAAAGTGTGTGTTTCTCCGAGGTATTGCCGGCTGGAGACTGACAGAGAGATAGAGAGAGTAAGAGAGAGCGAGAGAGAGAGAGAGAGAGAGAGAGAAAGAGAGAGAAAGAGAGGGAAAGAGTGAGAGAGCGAGGGTGAGAGAGAGTGAGACAGAGTGAGAAAGAGAGAGAGAGAGAGAGAGAGAGAGGGAAAGAGTGGAGACTGGCTTCCTGATTTCATGGCCAATGTTGTCCCAAGCCGACAAAATCTCGGGGCTGGAACTGTCGAGGCAACTCTTCATCACTCAAAGGCCCGGACAGTGACTGCGCAATAGTGGAAACGTGTGGCTTTATGCCCTGCGATTCCGCAAATAACTGTGTCACTCCATGACGCCGCAGCGTGTCGCGGGGCTCGTGGTTCATCGTGAAAATGTGGAGTCCTGTAGCTCAGTGGTTAGAGGAATCAACTTGCAAGCGAGAGACCTGAGTTCAATTCCAATCAGGGCGAAACCTTTGGAAAGTTTCCTTACTCCACACAGAGCCTAATGATAATCCCTCCAAAACCAAAAACAACAAAAAATTTGTCATTTTCAATCTACGACTCTTTGTGGGACATTGCTGTGCGCAATTGGCTGCCGCGTTCCCCACAAATATACAGTCAATTCACTTTACAGTGTGTTCTGTGAAGCGCTTTGGGACGTCCTCGCGACGTGAAAAGCGCTACATCAAATGCGAGGATTATTATTATTATTATAAAATCTCAGCAAAGAGAGAAGCGGCTCAAACATTCCTGTTGAGGAAAACTGTCCGGATTTCGCCCACAGATGTACGTACAGTGGATTCGCTGTACAGTCTATTCTGCATTGAGGTGTCGAGAAGACGTGAATAACTCTGTATCAAATGCAAGGATTGTTATTGTTATCACTATTATTATTATTATCATTATTATTGTTAACCACGGAATGTCCGTCATCAGCTCAAAGCTGCAAAATAAATAAGAAATAGCGACAAAAACTTGAACTTTGCTGAGCGGCTTTTTTGCCACTGATTACTAAACGTCGAATAAGATTCGTACAGAGCCTTTCACACGTGAGGACCATCAGGCGCTGAGACCCAGTCAAGTGACGTCACTGCCCAACGCACCCCCCCCCCCCCGCCCAACCTTGCCGCCTTTACCAAGATGGCCGCCGCCAAGCTGCAAACGTCACGCGCATGACGTCACCGACCGGCTCTCATTCGCCTTCACCAAGATGGTCGCCGCGACCTGACAACACCTACCACCCAACCCAGCCCCCCTTCACCAAGATGGCCGCCAACGCCCTCAACTGACGGACGACGACACTCACTCCTTTACTGTCAGTCTCTCTCGCACTCACTCTCTCTGTCTGCAACGGAGAAAGCGTGACAGAGATTGAGTGTGTGTGAGAAAGAGAGAGCGAGTGAAAGTGAGAAAGAGAGAGAGAGTGTGTTTTTGAGAGAGAGAGAGAGAGAGAGAGACAAAGAGATTCTCGAGTCAGACAAAGATGCGGAGTATGTTACCAGTTCAACACCACCGCCCAGTGGCTGCCCGCTGTATTACAGTCCCAACGAATTACACCGGAAATATTCTAACTTTCTCAACAACAAACAAAGAAACTGCATTTGTTTCATCTCCTTTTCGGACGATCAGGACTCGGAACTTCTCCTCAGTGTTGGCTTCTAATTGACGAATCCATTTTCATTCATGTTCATGCGTTTATGTGAATAAACAGTTTCCCACTGAATCTCATGTCATAAATTGTGTTGCTCAGTCCCTGGGTCTGGTTATCACCATCTAATGCTGGAGAGCGGTCAGACAGGGAAAGCAAATCACTGCTTCTCCGTCTGTCCTGGTGGCTGTTGTGGATTTGAGGGAAATAATCCTTTGTGTAATTTACTCTGGGTTCAAATTACAAATAAAAATCTGCAGATCCACTTTACAGCCACCAGAGGGTGGTGCTGCACTGTGTAGCGGCCCACAATGTTCTCAGTAATAATTATTATCATAATAATAATAATGATAATCCTGGCATCTGAAATGGCGCTGTTCACGTCTTGCAGACGCCTCAAAGCGGTTGTTTTTGTCAAATCCCTTCCCTTCCTTCAGGGGAGGTGACCAGAGTCTCCCTGGAGCTGATCTGGAGTTCAGCAACTTATGCGGAAATGAAGCCAGTCCTGTGTGATGGTCATTCGGGTGGACACTGCGATCCCGAGCTGTGTGTGTGTGTGTGTCTGTGTGTGTGTGTCTGTCTGTCTGTGTCTCCGTCTTTGTGCGGGTACGTGCGTTTATGTCTCCGTCTATATGTGTCTATGTGCGTGTGAGATTGTTTGTGAGGGTCTATGTATGTGTATTTGTGTATGTGTGTGTCTGTATATTTCTCTTTGTGTGTGTGTGTGTGCGGGTGTGTATGTCTGTCTCTGTGTGTGTTTCTGTGTGTCTAAGCCCTGAGCTTCAGGACCCTTTTCACCGCCGCTTTACAGTGAATTCTGTAAAAGCACAGTCACTACACTATCCTGTGAAACGTGTTGAGACGTCTCAAAGCTGTGATCATGAGTTGGTTTGAAAAGAAGAATAGTAATAATTATTATTATTATTATAAGAAGGGTATTAAACCCCGGAACTCCCCTCCCCTTTAAAAGCCTAATTCCAAAATATAATCCCAAATATTATATAATAAAAATAATACTGCTGTAGCCCCGCCTCCAAATACAGCCCCGCCCCCAAAACCAGCTCTACCCCCAACCCCGCCCCCAACTCCAGCCCCCCCCAACTCCAGCCCCGCCCCCAACTACAGCCCCGCCCCCAAATACAGCCACGCCCCCAAAACCAGCTCTGCCCCCAACCCCGCCCCCAACTCCAGCCCCGCCCCCAACTCCAGCCCCGCCCCCAATTACAGCCCCGCCCCCAAATACAGCCCCGCCCCAAAACCAGCTCTGCCCCCAACCCCGCCCCCAACTCCAGCCCCGCCCCCAACTACAGCCCCGCCCCCAACTACAGCCCCGCCGCCAAATACAGCCCCGCCTCCGAAACCAGCTCCGAGCCCAAAACCAGCACCGCCCCCAAACCCCAGCTCCGCCCCAAAAGCCCGCCCCGCCCACAAATCCAGCCCCGCCCACGTATCCAGCCCTGCCCCCAAACCCCAGCTCTGCTCCAAAATCCAGCTCCGCCTCCAACATCAATCTCGCCCCCAACCTCAACCCGCCCCCAACCCCAGCCCCGCCGCTAAAAACTGCTCCGCCCCCAAACCCCAGTTCCGCCCCCAAACCCCAACTCCACCCCAAAACCGGCCCCGCCTCCAGACCCAACCCCGCCCCCAAATACAGCCCCGCCGCCAAAACCAGCTACGGACGCAACCTCAGCCTCGCCCCCAACCTCAGCCCCGCCCCCAACCCCAGTCCCCCCCCCAACCCTAGCACCGCCCCCAACCCCAGCCCCCCCCAACCCATCCCCTGCCCCGCCCCCAACCCCAGCCCCGCCCCCAACCCCAGCCTCGCCCCCAACCCCAGCCCTGCTCCCATCCCCTGCCCGCCCCCAACCCCAGCCCCGCCCCCAACCCAGCCCCGCCCTCAACCCGCCCTATTTGTCTCCTGTTTGAAGCAGAGCCTCCAGCGGCTGATTGACAGAGAGGTTGAGCGAATTGGAGAGAGAGAGTGAGAGAGAGCGGGGAAGTAGAGCGTGTGTGAGAGAGGGAGAGAGTTAATGCATAGAAAGCGGTGGATATATTTGGGATTAATGCAGATTTCGGAAGCCTGGGAAGGGAATCGAGACGTTTGGCGGATGTAATGAGGAGCTGTGTGCAATGTAAGGATTATTGTTGTCGAGATCAGAAGCTGAAAGTTAAAGCCTGAAGTTTATGGTGTGAAACGTGACTTCATGGAGACTTTTCTCTGTGCAAATTGGCTCCACAATCGCTCACAAACACAATCGTTGCTTCACGGTCGATCCCGAGAAAGGTTTGAGCCGCGGTCCCAGTGTGAAAGGTGTCATATAAACGACAGCTTTATTGTACAGCGACACAGATTATAAAACGTTCAGCCTGGTGGCCATCACCGCCAAACACAGGTCATGGCTGAGGGTTCCCTCCTCATTAATCTGTCACAAGGCAGATACTCAGAGGCTCAGAGTTTTTGCCGCCGTCGTTCAAACCGGGACTGAAGTACGGATAAAGCTTCTCAGTGAAAGTCTGGGTGAAAGTGTGGAGATGAGACATGTTGTCGGCGTTGTAAAATGTCACCTCTCCCCCCTCATAGTCCAGGAACACTCCCAGCTTCCCGGGTCTGTCCCTCAGGGGCAGGCGGGTGGGAGGTGAGGTACAAGCTTCATATTCATCCCCGTTTCTCAGTATCACAGCCCAGAATCCATCCTCTGGTGACGCTGTGATCTCTCCTTTCCTGTTGACAGACTCTCGGGCCAATCCCACTGCCCACTGTGTCTTGCTGCCCACCTGCACCTCCCAGTAATGTCTCCCTGATGTGAAGCCCTCAGACCCCAGAACACAGACACAGGGATCAAACCTCTTCGGGGAGTCCGGGAGCTGCTGCCCTGTGTCTCCGAGTCTCACGCTGGTCAGGTCCTCAGACAGGATGAGCCGGGGATGAGCTGTGTCAGGATCCAGAGTCAGAGAGGCCGGAGCTGAGAGAGAGAAACAACACAAAGTGGAGTGAGGGGACGTCTGGAGCTCAGACTGTGTGTGAACACATCTACACCCGGAGACACAATCCAGCTCAGAGGGTCAAATGCTGTGTATGTGTATGTGAATCGGTGGGGTGTGTGTTTGTGTGTGTGTGAGGAGGTGTATGAGTGTCTGTGGGGCTGTTTTGTGATGATCTGTGAGTGACTGTGAGGGTGTATGCGAATGTGTGTGTTTGAGGTTTGTGTGTGAAGGTTTGTGTGAGGGTGAGTTTGTGTGTGTGAGAGGGTGTTTTATGTGTGTGAGAGTGTGTGAGGCTGTGTATGAGGGTGTGTGTGTGAGCGTCTGTTTGTGTATGTGAGTTTCTGAGGTGATGTGTGAGTGTGTGTTAGGGGATGTGTGAATGTGTGTGTGAGGGTGTGTGAGACTGTGTGTGAGGGTGTGCGTCTGAGCGCCTGTTTGTGGATGTGAGTTTGTGAGGGGATGTGTGAGTGTGTGTGTTTGGATATGTGTGAATGTCTGCGTAAGGGTGTGTGTTTGAGTGTGTGTGTGAGGGTGAGTGCGAGTGTGTGTGAGGGTGTGTGTGAAACAGTTGGGTGTCCGGGGGTGTTTGAGGTTGTGTGCGATGATCTATGTGAGTAGTTGTGTGAGTGGAGGTGTGAGGGTGTGTTTGAGGGTCAGTCTGAGGGTGTGTATGAGGATTTGTGAGAAGGGTTGTATGAGAGGTGTTTTATGAGTGTGTGTGAGTTTCTGTGTGAGCAGGTGTTTGAGGGGGTGTGTGATGGTCTTTTTGAGGGTGTTTGTGAGGGATTATTTGAAGGTGTGTGTGACGGTGTGTGTGAAGGCTGTGTGAGAGGGTCTGCGTGAGGGTGTGTGAGGGTGTGTGTGAGGTTTGTTTGTGAGGGGGAGTGTGTGAGGGTGTGTGTGATGTTGTGTGTGAGAGCCTATGTGAATGGTTGTGTGTGTGTGTGTGTGAGGATATTTGGGAGGTTGTTTGTGAGGGGATGTATTAGATTGTGTGTGATGGGTTGTTTGAGGGTCGGTGTGAGGGACTGTTTGGGCTGGTGGTGTGTGATAGTATGTGTGATGGGGTGTGTGTGACGGGTTGTGTTAACGTATTGTGTGTGTGTGAGGGGATGTAAAATGACGTGTTGTGTGATATTTTGTGAGGGGGAGTGTAAGGGTGTTTGTGAGGTTGCGTGTGAGTTTGTGTGTGTGCGTATGTGTGTGTGCGAGTGACGGTGTGTGAGGTTGTGTGTGAAGGGTTTATGTGATGGCATATGTAAGAGTGTGTGTGTGATGGGGTGTGAGTGTGTGAGGGGGTGTGTGAGAGCTGTTGTGTGAGGGTCTCTTTGAGTGTGTGTGAGGGGATTTGTGAGTGTGTGTTTGAGGTTTTGTGTGAGGGACTCTGTGAGGGTTATTTGTAAAATTGTACATGTTAGGGTCTGTGTCAATGTGTGTGCAGGTGTGCGATTGTATTTGTCAGGGTCTGTGTGGGTGTGTGTGAGGAGTTGTGTGAGGGTGTGTGTGAGGTTGTGTGTGAGCTCGTGTGTGAGGTGCTGTGTGAGGATATGATTGTGGGTGTGTGTGGTAATGTGTTTGTGATGGTTGTGTGTGAGCGTGTGTGTGAATGTGTTTTTATCATTGTCTGTGTGAAGTCGTCCGTGAGGGTGTGTGTGTCAGGGTCTGTCTCAAGTTGTGTCTGGGGTGGTCTGTGAAGGGGTGTGTGTGAGTGTGTGTGTGTCAGGGTCTGTGTGAGGGTGTGCGCGAGTATGTGTGATGGTCTGTGTGAGCGGGTGTGTGAGCGGGTGTGTGAGGGTGTGTGTGAGTGTCTGTGTGAGGGGTGAGAACATTAACATTATGGACCTGACTGAAACTTGGATCACCCCAGTTGACACCTTCTTCTTCACTGAGGCCAAACCACCCGCTCGACCTACCACCCTGTTCCCCGCCCGAATCGTCATGTTGGTGGGGTGACCCTCATCTCCAGGGCGTTACTTGCTCCACCGGCTCATTCCCCTCTTTCCAACACCTTACCCTCTGCCATCCCTCCCACCACTCTATAAAAATCCTAACTTACTGACCCCAAAAAACAGTCCCAAACTTTCATCTCTGAAATCTCTACCCTCCCCGCCTCCGTTCCGACTCCCTCATTATCCTCGGTCACTTCAACCTCCACATCAACCCCTCCTTGTTTTTCTTGTGATGAGGAGTGTGTGGGTGAGGGGTGTGTGTGAGAGGTGTTTGTGTGAGAATTGTGTGTGTGGGATAAGTGTTTGAGGGTTAGTTGTGTAGTAACTTTATGTCATAGTTCTGTGCTTGAAAGGTGTGTGTGTGAGGTGTGTGTGGTGGTTGTGTATGAGAGGTTTATGTGAGCTGTATGTGAATGGGATATTTACTTGAGGTGTTTGTACGTGGGTAGCGTGTGAGGTGTATGTAAGGTGTGTGTCCCAGGTGTGTCTGTGAGATGCCTATCGGAGGTGTATGTAAGAGGTTGCTGTGAGAGGCGTGTATGTGTGTGTGTCAAAATGGTATGTAAGTGAGGTGTGCGTGAGTGATGTGTGTTTGAGGAGGATCCGTTTGAGGGCTGTATGTTTGAGGTGTGTGTGAGAACTGTGTGTGAGTGTGTGAGGGTGTGCGTGTGAGCGAGGGTGAGTGAGGTCATGTGTGTGTGAGAGATTGTATGTGTTTGAAGGTTGTGTGTGAGAGTGTGTGTCTGAGGAGTGTGAGTGCATGATGATAAGTGTCTGAGGGGTGTGTGTGTGTGTGTTTGAGGAGTGTGTGAGGTGTGTGTGAGTCTGTGTGGGTCAGCGTGGGTGTGCATGTGAGGGTGTGTGTCTGTGGAGTGTTGTATGCGTGTGTGTGAGGGATGTGTGTATGTGTGTTTGTCTGAGAGGTGTGTGTGTATGTTTGAGGAGTGTGTGAGGTGTGTTTGTGAGGTGTGGGGTGTGAGTAGTGTGTGTGTGTGTGTGTTTGTGTGAGAGGGTATATATATTTGTGTGTGTGTGTGTGTGTTAGAGAGGGAGGAGGGCGAATGTATTGGGATTCAGGTGAAAGTAAGTCTATTGAAACGACTTCAGGGTGCGAATGGGAGACATGTACCTGGGCTGATGTTGTCTATAATCTGTCTCCATACTGTGTTCTTCAAAGGCCATTTGTACTTGGCCACAGGCAGCTCAGCCTCACACACTGACAGATCAAATCCCTCGTCACTGACCCTGAAATAAGACACAATCACATAATATAGTGAAACTGTAACTTGTGGTTGGTTTATGGGTTCAATTGTGGGATATTTGTTAAAGATCATTTCATACCTTCTGTTGGCAGCAGCTTCCTCCTAATGAAATCAAACACAGACAGATGTCAGTTCAAATCGAGACACCAACACAGACAAGTTAAATGTGCGCAGAGTATCTCACGTCCCAATACAATCTCTGATCTCTTTATCAAACACAATTAGTTTGTCTGCTCCCGACTGTGTATAACCGTTACTGAACTATATCATAATGTCATCTCTTTACCTGCATGAAGGTGAGATCGTCTTTTCCCAGCAGTGCTGTTAACTCGGAGAGTTGTTGTTCAACAGAATCTAATTTGCACTGAATATCTCGCAGATTTGCCTCCATTCGCTTTAAAATCTCCTCCTCTCGCTGTCTGAGATCCCCCATCACTCGCTGCTCTCTGTCAGTCAGACTCTGGTGCATTTTAGCAAACTCAGCCGTGACGTGGATCTGCAGACTATTCACCTGTTCCTGCAAATGTCACACATTGAAACATTACACACAATAACCAGAGACCCTGAGACATCACACCGTTCACACACAGTAACCAGAGACACTGAGACATCACAGCGTGTACGCACAGTAACCACAGACACTGAGACACCACACCGTTTACACACAGTAACCACAGACACTGAGACATCACACCGTTCACACACAGTAACCAGAGACACTGAGACATCACACCGTTCACACACAGTAACCAGAGACACTGAAACATCACACCGTGTACACACAGTAATCAGAGACCCTGAGATATCACACCGTGTACACACAGTAACCAGAGACAGTGAGATATCACATCGTTTACACACAGTAACCAGAGATACTGAGACACCACACCGTTTACACACAGTAATCAGAGACACTGAAACATCACACTGTGTACACACAGTAACCAGAGACACTGAGATATCACATAATTTACACACAGTAACCAGAGATACTGAGACACCACACCGTGTCCCCACAGTAACCAGAGAACCTGAGACATCACACCGTGAACACACAGTAAACGGAGAAACATTGATAGCCCAGACATCAGCCCCAACACAACTTACCTTAACTTGTGAAATCTTTTCTTTCTGTTTGGCTGCAGTTTGTAGAGCCGTTTCCTTCCTCTGTGTGAGAGAAGCTAAGGAGGATTTTATTTGATCCTGGAATAAACGCACAGAATAAAAGTGCTTGATGTGAAAACATGACTTGGAAGCAAAATAAATGCCTCGTGAGCGCATCATTACCTTGGAGATTTCAGCAGCTTCGTCAATGGGCAGGAAGCTGTGACCTCTGTGTTGTTTCGCATCTCTGCAAATATAACAGATCAATTTCTTGTCAGTTTCACAGAAGAGCTTCAGGTACTCCCGGTGTTTCTCACACTGAAGTTTAACTGCCGTCTGTGTCGGGGTCAGGCTCAATTTTCGTGCTTTCTCTGCTAGACTCGCCAAGGCCCAACTGGCTGTGAGGTTCTTTTCTGGAAATGTCTCCTGACAAACAGCACAGCAGTTGATCTCCTGCTTTTCCCAGCTCCGGGTGATACAGGAGCGACAGAAGTTGTGGCCGCAGCCCAGACTAACAGGATCAGTGAAGAAATCCAGACAAACCGGGCAAATGATCTCCTCGGTCCAGACTTCAGCCTGCAGTCTAGAAGCCATTTTGTACCTCAGCACTTCCTGATTGAAACTGCTTTCGGTTTCGGTGTGAGTGTGTAGGCGGATCCCAGTCACTGAGCTGCCAAATCCAATCATTTTGTCCCCTCTTGTGAAATCAGCTTAATGCGACTTTGATCCCAAGAGATGATGAGAGAGCCTTGTACAGTGACAAGGACACCCGAGCAAGGAAGGCTTTGGACTGTGTGGAAGCGTGGTGTGCATCTTGGGGTGGGGATGGGGGGAATGGGTGGGAGTATGACAAAAAGCGCCATCAATTGGATTAGTTTGAGGCTCTGAGACAGACCTAATATCTCTGAGATGGTTTTCCGGAGTGCGGGGTGTACAATGGCTGAAATCTCACACAGTGAGGCGGATATTGGGTTGATTTGGGGCTGATATGAAGCTGCCGGCGTTTTTTGAGTGAATGCTGTGGCCGGGTCAGTTGTGTTGAAGAAGGTGGCGGACGAATGGCCGTGTAAGGCAATGAGGGCTTTTGAAATTGAAGGCATGGTCGACGACAAAGACCTTCAGACGGGACTTGAAGGATGTGAGGCAGAGGAAACGCAGGTAGAGTTGGAGAGTGTGGGGACAGAGATGCTGAATGTCTGACCTCCAATGGTGGGGTGGGAATTGCGGGTGAACTAAAACAGGCCGGTGTCTGCCGAGTGGAGGGAGCAGACTTTCTGATATGCTTTTATGAAGTAAAAGAAGTAGGGGGGAATAAGACCATGGAGGTGCCTTGAATGAAGGACAAGGCTGTTCTTTGAGCAACTGGGCTGGTCTCTATGTAACTGGCCTTATCTCTGTATTAATGCCTGGTCTCTATATAACTCACCATGGGTCTGCATGACAGGCTTGATCTCTGCATAACGTGCCTGGTCTGTTTATAACAGCTCGGATTCTGTATAGCTGCCTGGCATCTGCATAACTGACCAGTGCTCTTGATAACAGTTCTGGTCTCAGTAGGAAATCTTTGCACAGTGTACAACTGGCTTCATGTCTGTGCAACATCACTGTTCTCTCTTTAAAAGCTCTGGTCTCTGCATAATAGACTTGGTCTCTGTAAAATTGGCCGAGTGTCTGCATACCAGACCTCGTCTCTTTATAATAGGCGTAGCCTATGTATAACTGGCCTGATCTCTGTATAAGAACCTCGCATATGTATATCGGCTTGGTTTTTGTAAATATGTCCTCGTCTCATATAACAGATCTGGTCTCTGTATAACCAGCCTGGCCTCACTAAAACTGGCCTTGGCTCTGCATAACCAAGATGGTTTCTATAGAACAGCAGTGCTCTCTTTTTAACAGGCCTTGTCTTTGTATCACAGCTTGAAGTCTGTGTAATAGGCCTGGTCTCTGTATAACAGATCTGGTCTCTGTTTAATAGGCCAGTTCTCGCTATAAACTGCTAACCAAGGGTCGTGGAGCAGGAAATTTTACTCACTTTCGTTTCTCCATGGATGCTGCCTCACCTGCTGAGTTTTCCCAGCTCTCTCTGTTTATATTTCAGATTTGAGCATCTGCAGTATTTTGTGTTTTGCTCGCGATAACTTCTTGGTCTATATACAAGAGGCCTGATCTCTACGTAACAGCCGGTTCTCTGTATAACAAGTCTTATCTCTGCAAAGCTCCCTGGTCTCTGTATGAAATGACTGATTCCTGTATAAATTGCGCAGTTTTGTGTAACTGGCCTGGACTCTTTATAACAAATCTGGACTCTGTACGGTCTCTGTATAACTAGACTAGTCTCTGTATAACAGCTGGTCTGTGTAGAACTGCCGTTCCTCTGTATAGGAGGCCGAGTCTCCGTATAATTGGCCTGATATCTGTCTAAAAGCTTGGTCTCTCTATAACAGGCCTTTTATATCAACAAAAGGCCTAGTTTCTGTATGAGGTGCCTGGTCTCTATAAAAGAGCACTGGTCGCCATTTAAAAGTATGTCTGCTGTCTGTGTAACATCCTGGTCCCTGTATAACAGGATTAGTCTGTACATAAAAGGCCGCGTCTCTGAATAATAGCACTGGTATATGTACAGCAGCACTGTTCTCTGTATAATGGAACTGGTCTATCAATAATAGACTAGTCTTTGCGTAACACGACTGGACTATTTATAATAAGCCTGGTTTCTGTATCACAGCTGGTCTCTGCACAACAGGCTTTGAATACCTATAAAAGACCTGGTCTTTGTATTAGAGATCTCGTCTCTTTACACGAGAACTGGTCTACATATAACAGCCTAGATCCTATGCAACCGGCGTAGTATATGTATAATATGCTTGTGTCCTCTATAACAGTCTTGTCTCTGTAAAACAATCCTTGTGAATGTATAATAGACCTGCTTTCTGTATAACAGCCTACTCTCTGTATTATCGGCCTAATCTATGTATAATAGGTATATTCTATGTATAACAGGCCAAGTGTATGTGTAAAAGGTTTGCTGTCTGTATAACAGCACTGGTATGTGTACAACAGGACCCGTTTCGTTGCAACAGCACTGTTCTGTGTAAAATAGACCTTGTCTATCAATAGCAACCTAGTATTTACACAACATGCCTGGTCTGTATGTAAGCGACCTGGTTCCTGTGTCGCATTCTGGCCTCTGTATAACAGTCCTGGTGTCTGCATAACAGGCTTTGACTGCGTATAAAAGGCCTAGTCTCCGTTTAAGAGGCCTAGTATATTTGCAAGAGCATTGGTTTACATATAACAACCGAGACCCTATATAATAGCCTAGACTATGTATAATAGGCTTGTTCCCTGTAGAAAAAGGTTGTCTCTGTAAAACAGGCCGTGAATATGTATAGTAGGCCTGCATTCTATATAACAGCCCAAGTCTCTCTATAATTGGCCTTATCTATGTCTAATAGGTCTATTCTATTTATAACAGTCGTGGTGTCCATACAGCTGCCTGGTCTCTGTGTAAGAGGCCTAATCTATGTATAACAGTCGTGTTCTTTGTATAACAGGGAAGATCTGTGTAAAACAACCTGGTCTCTGTATAAAAGGACTAGGTTTTGTGTAACAGGCCAGGTATCTGTATAACAGACCTGGATTCTGTGCAATAGTCCGGGTTTCTGTGTAAAATATTGCTCTCTGTATAAATAGCCCAGTCTCTGTAAAACATAAACCTGGCAGCCGCAACATAGACAGAGAGAGAGAGAATGAGAGAGAGTGGGAGAGAGAGAGAGATAGAAAGGTTTTACAAAGTGATGACAAATTTTCAAACGCTCAGATTTTATGATTATTTGTATTTATTGTTTATCGATTTTCTATTATCTATTATCTATTATTGATCATTATTATCTCTTATTCAAAATCATTAAAAAGCCTGGTAATAATCCCGAAGTAAAACAATAATAAAATTATTCGTTTCAACCCACGGCTGTTTGTGTGCGACAGCGCTGTGCGCAATTGGCTGCCGCGTTTTCCCACAAATACAGTCAATTCAGGAAACAGTTTAATCTGACGTCGAGAAGACGTGAAAAGCGCTGTATCAAAGGCAACGATTATTCTTCTTATTATTATTATTGTTACTAAGGAGAGAGGACACGGCGGCCACTGGTCAGACACAGTCTCTCTCTGTCCCTCTCTCTCTGTGCCGTCACAATCACAGCCACAGCCTGCGGCACAGACCCGGAAACTACAGCTCCCGGCATGCCTCACGGCTCAGAGCCCTCTGGTGACGGGGCCGGGCCGCGCGGGGCATCCTGGGAGCTGTGGTCAGCGTGAGAGACAGAGACACAGAGGCAGACACATGTCCACACATTCTCTGTCTCTGTGTCTCTGTGTCTGTCTCTCTCACTGACTGAGTTGGGGAATGAGGGGAATGTCCTGACTCTCTGATGTTGATCTGCAGTGTTTGTGCTGGTGTCAGAGGAGGATAGATTCAGGGGCAGCTCACACACACACACTGTCTATCTCTGTCTATGACACACACACTGTCCCTCTCTGTCTCACACACATAGTCTCTCTGTCTCTCACACTCAGAGTCTCTATCTCAACTACATATATTCTCTCTGTCTCCCTCACACGCACAGTCTCTCTCTGTCTCTCGCATACAGAGTCTCTCTCTGTCTCTCACAAAGTCAGCAACAACAACAATAACAATTTAGATTTTAATAGCGCCTCCCACGCCAGACGGCGTTTATGGAGTCCTGTACTTCAGTGGTTAGAGCATTCGCTTTGCAAGTGAGAGATCTGAGTTCAATTCAATTCCACGCAGAGGGCGAAACCTTGGGCAAGTTTCCTTACTGCACACGCCTGATAATAATCCCTCCAAAACCAAAAACAAAACAATAATAAATTGGTCATTTTCAATCTGCGACTGCTTGTGGGATATTGCTGTATTGGATGAGTTGGATCCTATGACTGGTGGAACTGGGGAAATCGGCAAAGACTGTATTTGAGAAGTCCTGTCGGGCGGTGAAGAAAGCATGATCGAGTGGGCAACAAGAGTGATTGAGGATATGGAGGGAAGTACCAAAACAGGAGAAATTATTTGTGCCCCTCAAGCCTGTTGAATGCTCTATACATTATTCCTGGTCTCCTCCTCGAGTCCCATCAGCCACCCATTCCAATATCCCGTAATACTCTCACCTAACAAATATCTATCCAACTCAGCCTTCAATATAATAGTAATAATAATAATAATCCTTGCATTTGCTAGAGCGCTTTTCACGTCGGGAGGACGTCCGAAAGCGCTTCACAGAACATACTGTAAAGTGAATTGACTGTATATTTGTGGGCGAACGCGGCAGCCAATTGCGCACAGCAATGTCCCACAAACAATCGTAGATTGAATATGACCAATTTGTTATTGTTTTGGGTTTTGGAGGGATTATTATCAGGAGTCTGTGTGGAGTAAGAAAACTTGCCCAAGGTTTCGCCCTGACCTGCCGGGGATTGAACTCAGGACTCTTCGCTTGTAAATCGAGTGCTCTAACCACTGAGCGAGAGAACTCCACGAATATGTCAACAGATTGGGGGCATCGACAGCGTTTTTTGACAGAACTTTCC